ACCGCGGCAGAGGGCAGTCGCGGACAACTGAAGAATCTGAGAGGGTGTTTGGCCGCGGTTCCGGCGCGACCGCGGTGGAACCGCGGCAGGATGCGTAAATTTCAGGGACCAAAGTGCAAAACACGGGATTTTAAGCCCTAAACCCTATATTAAACCAAGGAAGCCGGCCAAGAATTGGAGGGGACATATTTTTGACATAGATTTAACCTAAGGAGGCAGAGACACAATAGGAGCAAGGCTTGGGAATTCTTCTACAAGTTTTTCTTTCCTCTTCCTATTTTTCGTTGTTGGTTATGACTTTTAGTATTGTAGTTTTACATACTATTATGAATAGCTAATTTGTTATCTAAAGTTTTGATAGAACCTTTTGTAGGATAAATTCTTGTTATGTTTTTATATAATTGAACCGTAGTATACTCTCTATTTGTTCAACTACGTTCTTATTGTAGTTAATTGAAGAGCTCTCAATTAGCTGTGTCTATTTAGTATGCATAACTCGGGAGAGAGTGCATATTTAGGTAATTGTTGAACAACACCACTCCCAGAGTATATGAGGGATCAATAACCGAGGGTTTAAAGGCGGGATTAGGGATAACGAAGCCTTGAGTGCGATATGAAGTGAGCTGTATCAAAAGCCAGCTAGCGTAGCTCGGGAGAGTGCGTCTAGTAAATTGTCGTGATTACTCGGGAGAGATTTACGGTAATAAGAGTGCTCATGATCGGTAGAGAATACTTAGGCGAAATTATAGAAGACATAGCGGGAAGGATTCCGACAATTGGGGAAATCATAACTCTAGACCTCCTTAATTTTGTCTCTAACTCTTAGTATCTTTAGTTGTTAATTTATTATTTTAATTTGTTAATCAATTAGTTAAACACAAGAATCTAAATATCTATAAGTTAGGAACTGTTCAAGCTTGTCTTCTTGGTGATAGTGAACAACTGTAGCTAAGCCTTAGTTCTCTGTGGGATTCGACTCCGGACTTGTAAACCGGATTATATTTGCAACGACCGCATTGTCCTTTTTATAAGGCAATAAAGTTGTGCTCGTAGTAAAATTGTGAGCAGGTTAGTAGGGCATGCTAACAAATTCACTGAATGACGTGTCCAAATGAAAATATAAATCATTTGTGGAGAGAAAACGAAAAAATGAAAATTGAGATATAAGGATGAGTCGGAGAAAGAGCAGTTGCGTGCAGTGGCAGAACCAGAAATGTTGTAAAGAGTATTCAAAGTTTAATACATATATTTATAAAAAAAAAATTAACTTCTTTACATAATATAATTTTCTATATACTCCGTGTAATTTTTCGACAAGAGTGTTCAACTGAACACCCTTCTGTCTTTGTGGCTACGCCACTGGTGGCAAGGTTGAACTTAATTAATGGATCTTGGGATTGCAGTGAAACTGTAGATAGAAGAATCCTGCTACCTAAAATCCCATGGAGCTTGTGACTTAGGGTGCACTTTTTAGTTGTCTAAACTTCCGTGATCAAAGGGTCAATTTCACAGATTTACTCCTGTAAATTTCAGTCTGAGCCACTAAAATATACTCCTATCAAACTTGTTCATTAATTTAATTTCCAGTTTATTACTCAAAAAATGTTTTAGAATATGTATGCAGTAAGCAACATTATTTTTTCTAGATACAAATTTGAGATAATTGACAGAGTATATACTATGCAATATACTTGTCTAGTGACTAGTCTAAAAGAAATGCTCAACCTAAATATAAAAAAAAAGGTGATGTAGACATGGCTGAATATGAGATGCGGATATACTACACTTTGAAATTGAAAAAAAAATGGCCAGTTCGGTGTACGAAATATTCCGCATTCACATAGGATCCCGAAAAAGATCGTCGCATTTCAAAAAGGTATAATATAGGCAACATATCCCGACACAAGCATCAATAATTTGATTACGCATCTCTTATGACCTATATGTCACGCGTAAATAACTTTATTGTTGCTTTAAAATTCCCTTTCACTTTAAAATTTAAAAGTTCAATCCAATTTGATCTGAATTAGAAGCTTCTTACAAAAGTTGAAACTTGTAGTACCACCATCAGTAATAAACTCAAATTTTCTGTCGTTTTTTTCTCTTTGTTGTCTAGATGATCGTATGATTGTATAGTCATAGTCGCGTACTCACCGTACTAAACAACTTCTCTATGGATTACCGATAAGATGTGAACGGGGTAATTTTTGTCCCTAGACTTGAATGAGATTTTTGCTTATGATGAGGTGATGCTGGTGGCGAAGCCATATACTGATAGAATTGGGATTTCTGCTGATCCAGGATAGCTTTCTCCTAATTGGGCCTTTTTGTATAGCTGGGCCATTACCTTTATTTTTATTTTGAAGAATTGATCCAAATAGCCCCCATCTAATCTCTTAAATTATTAATAACCGACAGATGTATAATATATATACAATTCATGTATAATATTTGCATAACTATGTATAATTAATGTATACCGGCTAGAAAAAGTAAATATTGAATTTAACTGGCTATTTGTGTAACAATCCCTTTTCTTTTATACTGGGACCCGACCTATGTCCGATTTTATTTTATTGAATCTACTGTTGTACATACTAAAAGACCCATCAGGTCCTAAGACAAAATAATGGATCATTTTCTTTTGTTATTTACCCATTTGTATCTACAAACTCTCTCCACCGACCAGAACCTAGGGTTTTCATCGATCCATTCTCTCAAATTTCGGTCAATTTCATTGGTTAACATGGTATTAGAGCAATAATTCCTGCAACTCGATGAGGTTGTTCATCCTATCGGTTTAGATTTTTCAATTTTGAAGTTTTTCGGGTGTGTTCGACAAGGGTTGTTTTGCAACTTTCCGACAAAGATTTGAGTTTTTCGGCGATGTTTTTGAGGAAAGCTTCAGCATTTTCTACTTTTGTTGAACAAAGCTTTATTCCTTCGAGTATTGTGAAGGAGATACAGTATCATCTGTCCACTCCTTAGTCTATACCTAGTTGATTAACATATCTTTCGTGCTGTAGTTTTTGTAGCATGTTTTCATTCTATTTGAAATTGATACTGTCGTTGTTGTGTGAAATCGATTCTTGATTGTACTGTTCCGTGTGTTGGTTAAAGTCATAGGTGCAGAATCGACCTCTTCTCCTGCTGCCCTTGAATCCTCTCCTACAATCATCGATCTCTCACATCCTCTCTATGTCCATACATCAGACAACCCAGGTGTCTTATTGATATCTGTTCTTTTTCTAGGGACAGAATATACATCATGGAGAAAGAATATATTGATTGCATTGTCTGCTAAGAATAAGGCTGGTATGATTAATGGTAGAATTTTCCAGCTTTCACCTAGTTCTCCTTTTTATGACTATAGGGTTAGGTATAATGATATGGTCTTTGCTTGGCTCAACAATGCTATGTCCAAAGACATTGTTGATAGTGCCTTACATTGTGGCACTGCTAGGGACCTATGGAAAGATATAGAGGAAAGATATGGGCAATCTAGTGCTAGTAGGTGTTATCAGATTCAGAAAAAAATTGCAGGGGTCTCTCAGGGCTCCTATGATATTGCTAGCTATTATACCAAGCTTAGGAAACTCTGGGATGAGCTGAAACAACTTCTTTTGGTCCAGCCTGCATTTGTGGAGCTGAACCACAGGAGTGCAGTGATGGTCAGAAACTCATCCATTTCCTCATAGGATTGAATGACACTTATTCAAATGCTAGAAGCAACATCCTTATGATGTATCATCTGTCAACCCTAGGGAAGGCATATTCTATTCTTTTTCATGATAAAAGTCAAACGAAAATTCAATCTTCTGGTAGTCCTTTTGTATCAAAATCAGCTTATTTCTCTGTGAAGTCCTCTCCTACCTCTGGCCAGTTCAACAATACCTCTGCTCAGTTTAACAATGGGCCCGAACCTTACCTTCAGAAGGTAACATTGATGCCAAGAGGGAAAAACTTGTGTGCCAATACTATAAAAAGCATGGGCACTCTGTTGAGAAATGTTATAAACTACATGGGTTCCCAAGTGACTTCAAGTTCATCAATGGAAGAAAATCTTCTGCTTGCACTCAGGTTGACATTCGTGCTTCAGAAGGTCAGAACTCTTATGAGAATGTCAACCCCTAATAAACATCTTTTACACAATATTCAGCCTTTACCTTTTCTCTATCTTGTTATACTTCCTAATGGCTATAAAGTCAAGGGTTCTTTACATCTCTGTAATGACTTGATTTTATGAAAAGTTCTTTTAGTCCCCTCTTTTCAGTTTAATTTAATCTATGTGCCTCAGTTAGTTGATCAGCTCAGTTGCACAACTTTCTTCACTAGAGTTTTCTGTCATTTATAGGGCCCTTCTCTGAGGAGGCCACTAGAAATTAGTAGAGCACCAAATGGACTCTATGTCATTGAATCTGCAGTTACTTTACCAAAATCTATTCCATTTGTAAATGTCATTTCCAATAAAGGATCAATTCCTTTACCTCAATCTAGTCCACCCGTAAATAACGTTTTCAATAAAGCATCACCATCTTTGTGTGATTACAGTGATTGTTGTAACCCTGATTGCTCTATTAATAAAACTGATCTTTTCTAGCATCAAAGGTTATCTCACATATATGTCGCTTCTTACACATTTCTATTAGACAAATAAAGTCAAATCCTAAGGGGTATTTTTCCGACATAAGATTAGGCAAAAACTTACCTCAAACGGGCCAAACCAATACTCCAAGAATGCCTTTCCTTTGAAAATCACCTCTAACTGGCTCGAATTTAATAAAAAATAACTCAATAACGTCAAACAAAGTTATAGGAATTAATTCCAAACAATGAAGCTTCAATTTTTATTCAATTTTCAAAAATTCAACAAAAGTCAACCCGAGCTCACATGGTCAAAACCCGAGTCAAGTGTTAGATCCCGACTACCCATAATCCCACGAGTCCAAATATCTGATTAGATTAAAAACTCAAGTCCAAATAAACCTTCAAATACTCAATTTTTACTCTCTTAAGTTGTAGGAACCCCCTAATTTTTCTCTAATTCCATATTTTAGGTGTTAATAATCCATGTAAATTCTTGAAATAATATAAAAAATGAGTAGAAATCACTTACCCCAAAGTCTTGTATGAAGGTCTCCTTCCAAAATCGTCCATCTCCAAGTCTAGGGTTCAAAATATGAGAGAATGAGCTAAGATCCCGAAATTAGAACTTAATATAGTCTGTCAACACTATCTTTCGTGATCGCGAAAGGCTCTCGCGACTGCGAAGGCCCCTCTCGACCGCGAAGGCCAAACACATCTGCTGCCTAAAAGTCTTCTAAGCGAACTCGGAATGCACCTTGCAAATGCAATGCACAGTTGCCCTGGAATTATGCGAACGTGATTCCCCTACCCGCAATCGCGAAGACCAACCTCCAGCCAACTTACCGCCTGCCTCACTACTACGGAACACAACATGCAAAGCGCGAAACGCGAATGCCAACTGCCACAACCATCACTAACGCGACCACCAGCTCGCTAACGCGAAGAACAAAATATCTTGCCTCAAAATAACCCTCCGCGATCACGAAGCACACCAGACACCAACAAAAAATTTGCAAACTCAAACAAGCTCCGGGTGGTCTGAAATCCATCCGAGCCACTCGGGACCTCGTCAAATCATACTAACAAGTCCGTAAACACTACCCGGACCTAGCCAAAGCCTCCTAACACATACAAGATCATCACATCAACGAATCAAAGATCAAATCAATAGTTGAACTTCTTTTAAGTCCAAGAACTTCCAAACTTCAAACCACGCGTCCGATTCAAGCCTGACCAATCCGGATTACTTCCAAACTTTGCACACAAGCCGCAAATAACAAAGCAAACCCTATCAAGTTTCGAAACAACAATTTGAATATGATATCATGAAAGTCAACCTCTGGTCAAACTTATAAACTTTGCAAACCTTCAAACTTCCAACTTTCGGCAATTAGAGCCAAAACATCGTAGGAACCTTCAAATCCAAATCCGTACAAAAACCCAAGTTCAAAATCACCATACGATTTATTGGAACCATCAAATCACTAATTCGAGGTCGTTTACGCAAAAGTCAAATCTTAGTCAACTCTTATAACTTAAGCTTCCAACTATGAAACTAAGTGTTCTAATTCACTCCAAAACCTTCCTCAACCAAACTAACTATGCCTGCAAGTCACAAAATAACAAATAAGCATACAAAAAGCATCAAATAAGGAAATAGGGCTCGAATGCACAAAAAGACCGGCCTAGTCCTTATATTCATATGAATAATCACACTGCTCCTTCAAGTCAACTCAATTTCGATATTGTATATCCCTATGCTTCTGATAGGCAACTTTAATAACTCCAGTATCTGTGATAGTTGAGATAACAAAAAAAGATTAATAAAGTGAACTTCAAATCTTGAATTATTTCAGCACATTGATTGAGCATATAAGCAATTTATTACTCCTAATCCTTGTATAGGATATAGCAGGTCAACCCCACATCTATCCCACGCCATTTTGACTTCAGGTACCTAATTTCTTGTCGTATGTGCAAATTTGTGCTCTTGCTATTGATATGTACTGAATTTGTTTAGCTGAGTTCTAAATCTGAATTCTTTGTGTTCTTGAATTGCATTTTCATGGCCAACTGCACTAAAGTTTCAAGCTTTATGTTGATTCCACTGATGTTCCTTTTTATCTTTTTGGTTTCTTTCTTCACATTTTCTCACTTTGATTGTTCTTTTTCTGTGTTTAAGAATATATTAAAGCCCAAAAATAAGTTGGTTATTTCTAGCTCATATGTTCGTGCATTATCTCATCCAGTTAACGCCTTTCTTGGGAGGTATATGCATATTCTCTTAAAAATGAGTACTGGCCATATTATAAAACATAGTTCATTTAATTGTTATTATTTTTGTCTTTTACAGTATTTTGATTTTTTTCCTTCTGGGGTTCTTAAAGAGGGGTTTATTCTTTGAATAAGTCACTCCTCTTTTCGTTTATGTTACTCCCTCCATTTTGATTTATACGGCATAAATTGATTTGATATGGAGTTTAAGAAAAAAAAAACAATCTTTTTTTTAAACTAGTCTTAAACATGCCATAACATTTGTATGATTATAAAAGCTTATCATTAAGGGTAAAATGAGAAGTTCCAACTTAATTGTGTCCAAATTCAGAAAGGTATTCTATTTGGAACAGACTAACACGGAAATAGTGTCATTCATTTTAGGACAAAGAGAGTATTTATTTCTTTTCCCCACAATTTAAATATATTTGCTTCTTCAACTTCAAAGAACCTTACTTGTGTCTGATCCACTTAATACAGTGAGGAAAGAAGACTACTAACAAGTACCGCAGCAATTGTCAAAATGGAGATTGATAATCGGTCATGGGTTCCGTTGGTAGAGGAGTTCACTTTTGCAGCAAATTCGGCCCCGTTCAATAATTGTCATGCTTCTACTATTGTCGAGGTTGTGATAAATTTTAGTTCAGGTTCAGTCATTAGGTAGATTGAGTTTTATTTTTTCATTGACTGATGGACTGAGATTGTGACTGATTTGGTTTTGTGAAAGGTGAATAAAGATCATTTCTTGGTTGCTTATTTTGGTGGTACAGTAGAGGGAGCTCCTGACGTGAAAATTTGGGTACAAACTTTTAAGGTAATCACATTCTGTACCACTTAAACTGAGTTCTCTAGCTCGTAGGTGGTATGCCGTGTTTTCTTTGTATAATATACTGCAGCTTTTTACTTGCAAACCAATATTTGAGCCGATGGTTTCAGTTATAGTTCATTAATATCAGCTAAGTCATTATGGAACTTACATTGACCTTTCCTAAATATCGTTTCAAACTTAGTGACATGTGAAGTCCTCAGATGATTTACCTTTTTAAACTGATTATGGGATAATTCAATTGAGGAACAATTTGAGCAGGATGGCCATTGGAATGCTCCTGTTATTGCCGATGAGGAATTTAATGTCTCAATGTGGAATCCTGTACTGTTTAAGCTTCCTTCCAGTGAGATACTCTTATTCTATAAAATTGGGCAAGAGGTACAAAAGTAAGTATTCAGGCTTCCCTTTTAATCTAGTGGTTAATTATGTTATGCAGATCTGACTCTAGATATCCTTAAGATTGTTTGAGCTTTTAGTTTCATAGTTAACATTTTATAGTCAGATTTTTCTACAATTAAATTTCATTATGAGACAATGTGATTTTGTTCACCAGAAAACACTTTTAACACAATACTTTACTACAAGGAGGAAACAATTTGGGAGTGCAGTTAACAGACATTTATAGACATGTATCTCTTAAACATCTTCAGCGTCTCACCAGAAAAATAAAGCGACGTGTCTTGCTACTTACCTTCCATCAATATGTGAAACTTGAAGAACTAAGGTAATTTTTGTATTAGCATGAAATATTACAAGTGTTAGGAAACTGTCAATGCATAGGGCGTGAAGTCACAATCAAATTTCATAATAACACAAATTTATTCGCATACCTGGCTCTGTTTTGTGCATAAAGTCAAAGGTGTTGCATTTCATATCAGAGCTGCCTTTTGTGCATAAAGTCAAAGGTGTTGCATTACATATCAAATATCAAAGCTGTGTTTTGTGCACAAAGTCAAAGGGAGTAATATTTTTAGTCTTTTTGCATTTCATTACAACCTGATTATAATTTTATTAATCATAGAAGAGTTGAGAAAATGTAATATTTTCTTCAAATGCATTGACTTCTTGCTTTTATGCAATAACTGTGAGCTAGATTTCATTATCATGTATATGACTCACTGATCATGCATAGTATTCGAGTTACATCACAGTACATTGCTGAATTTAAAGTTCTACTGTCTTTTCTATTTTGTTGAATGCAATGACAACTTACCAGATCCATGGGATTACGCTCAAACTTGCCTTTTACTAGGGACACCACTAATAAAACTCTTCAGTGTCAATATTTTATAATATCCTTCATTTCTTATATTTTTCATTAAACAGTTATACGGTGGCTCATTATTATTTGATATCATTTTGTACTGCTCAAAACATGTACTAACATTGATGCCCTTAGTTTTCTCATTTCATCCCTTACAACAACAACAACAACAACAAAAATTCAGTAGAATCCCACCAGTGGGGTCTGGGGAGGGTAGAATATACGCAGACCTTATCCCTACCCCGGAGGGGTAGAGAGGCTATTTCCAGTAGACCCTCGGCTCAGAGACAATAGATTCGTAACAACAACAGAAACCAGAAAAATAATATCAGCAATGTGAGAGGCAATAACTAAATGGGAAAGGAATAACACAAATACTATGCAAAATGTGAAACACAACATAAACTGCTAGCAGTCCTAGACAAAATATTATCAGACTAGCCGGTACAAAGAGGAAAAACGTTTGACTACCCCTTAACCTACAACCCTAATGCTTGACCTCCATACCTTCCTATCAAAAGCCATGTCCTCGGAAATCTAGAGCGGCGCCATGTCCTGCCTGATCACTTCGCCCCAATACTTCTTATGCTGCCCTTTATCTCTTCTCGTATCTGCCAAAGCCAACCACTCACACCTTCTAACCGGGACATCTATGCTTCTTCTCTGCATGTGCCCGAACCATCTAACCCGCGCTTCCTGCATCTTCTCGCCCACCGGAGCTACGCCCACCCTCTCCCGAATATCTTCATTCCTAATCTTGTACAGCCTAGTGTGCCAACACATCCATCCCAGCATCCTCATTTCTGCTACTTTCATCTTCTGGATATGTGAATTTTTGACTGGCCAACACTTAGCCTCATACAATATGGTCGGTCTAACTACCGCTCTATAGAACTTACCTTTAAGTTTCGGCGGCACATTCTTGTCACACAGAACTGCAGATGCTAACCTCCATTTCATCCACCCCACTCCAATACGGTGCGTTGTAACATCCCGTCGATCTCCCCATCTCCCTGGATAATTATCCTAGGTACTTGAAACTTTCTCTCTTGGGGATGACTTGTGAGTCAAGCCTCACTTCTACGTCCGTTTCCCCCGTCACGTCGTTGAACTTACACTCCAAATATTTCGTCTTAGTAGTTAGTCCTACTCAACTTGAAACCTTTAGACCCCAGAGCCTGCCTTCATACCTCTAGTCTCCCATTAACGCTGCCTCGCGTTTCATCAATCAAAACTATGTCAACAACGAACAGCATATACCATGACAACTCCCCTTGAATATGGTGTCTCATTTCATCCCTTAATGCATTAATATGTTTGTTTCTGCGGTAATGCCATATTATAAATTATATCAAGGTTCTCTAAGTTTTAGAGAGTATCAAGCTTGTTAAATGCTTAACAAAATTTGCAATTTCTCGAAAGCTGACCTAGTCACAATTCCCAAGGTCAAAGAAAACTAGAAAAACAGATGACCTAGTCACCATTCCAATAAAGGTCAATCAAATTATTTGGCTAAAATTTTCTAAAATATTTTTTCAGCATTTCTAAATTCTGAATTAATTCCAAAATTAATGGTTGATTATACTTATAATAATCATAATTCTATTTAAAAAATTTAGTCAATAAGTTAATCAAAAGGCTGGCTTGTTATATAACCAACTCTAAATTGAAATTATTGAACTTGTCCACTATACTTTGTGCTCCCGATGCTTGCTGATGGTTTTTATACATTAGATGGAGTGGATGCTTGAAGCGATCTTATGATGGTGGTGTTACATGGACGGCAAGAGAACAGCTTCCTCCTGGTATATTGGGGCCAATAAAAAATAAGGCAAGAATATGGCGAATTCAATTCTCTTAAGTTTCATCCATGTCTCTCAGAATATCTGATAAGCTAAGAATAAGTTTTCACTTGTTTTCATTAGCCTATCTTGCTGGAAAGCGGTTCCTTGCTTTGTGGATCATCTGTGGAGAGTTGGAACTCTTGGGGAGCATGGATGGAGGTAGTACTAAATAGTTGGAAAATGCTAAGTATCCGTTCCTACTGTTCTCTAATGGAACTAAATGGTGGCTTCTGTTTCTTTACTACAGATGACTGCAGATTCAGGTAGGACATGGAGAAAGTATGGTCCAGTATACATCGAGAATAACCCTCTTAGTGTGATTCAACCCGTCCCTTACCAGACTGCAAATGGGACATTGCGTGTTCTTCTAAGATCATTCACTGGCATTAATAAGATCTGCATGTCGGAGTCCCATGACAGTGGTTATACTTGGAGTTATGCAAAGCCTACTGAACTGCCGAATCCTAACTCAGGTAACTATTTAAGAAAATGCCTTTCATCTGGTGTTTGAAAATGATGTACTATGGTTACATTTTGTTTCTTCATAGGTTTCCTTAGGTACGAGATTTTTAAAGGTGATCAAACTTACATGTTTTCAGAAACTCTAAGTTTGAACATTAGTAATATGCCTTTCCAAAAGAATATGAGAAGCAACTATTCATTCCAACATAGTTAAGGCTTATCTGATTACTTGCTAAGCAGGGATTGATGGAACAAAGCTGAAAGATGGTCGTCTTTTGCTTGCGTACAATACATTTTCTAGGGGTGTGCTAAAGGTAGCACTCTCAGAAGATGATGGAGACTCATGGCACGATGTTGTTACACTTGAGGAGACTGTAGGAGAGTTCTCTTATCCAGCTGTTATCCAATCTAGTGATGGATTAGTTCACATAACTTATACATACAACAGAACACAAATCAAGGTAGCAACTTAATCTGATGAATATCATAAGATTTTGGTTAGGTTTTATTGCTGATATATTTTAATAACTAGTATCCACTTTTCACTTGTTTGCGTGTGTGAAACTATTTTTACTTGGTTGTTCAGATTCCCCCTGATGCTTGTGGACTACGGAGGCATAACTCTTTGTTTTGTTTTTAATCATTTGTTACTGCAGCATGTAGTCCTTCAACCCAAGTAATGAAGTACGGAAAGATGAGAAAACCTCTCAAGTGAAGAAGGTATGTAATCCATATTTGTGCCATGGGACTGCTGGAAGAATTTGATATACCACTTATTTGAGACTGATCTCACACCTATTTTGTGATTGTACTTCTAATTCTAGATTCATAATTCTCCTCGAATCAGTTCTTATGATGAGGATGAAGGGCAGCAATTGTACTTTTTCACTTTTCTTTTCTATTTTTGATGCCTTTGTATTCCTGCAAGATTGACCAGGTCCTCGTGAGTTGCGGGTTCAAATATGTATCTGGTTTTCACTGTTGCCTTATCAGGATGTACTTGAAATTTAAGAATTTATTTATGATTAGGAAGATGATCCTTTTATTAAGTTAGAAGTCAGTAACTCTTTATGGCGGAGGATGGTAAAATTAAGAGTGTGGTGTAACATGTGAACGAGGATCTTAAATTACTCGGTTTATTTCCAAATGTTCTTTTTAAAGTTATGTGACAACAGAGACAGGTAAATAACTTGATAGGGGTGTGTGTAAGTATTGTCCGTGCATTTTTCTGCTATTTCTTTTGACAAATCAGGATGAAATATCATAGCCGCATCACTCCTACAGCAAATGAACAATCCACATGATATTGGTACAAGGCATTATTCTTTGTGATTGCACCTGAATTTCCGTGGCAAAGGACTGTGTTGGTCATGCTCTCCTTCCGGAGGAACTAGCTTGTCCCTTTTGACCTTGCCTTTCTGGTACTAATTCACTATGCCAAGCTTATGTGAGTGCTAGTGATATGTTTTGATCATTTACTCCTGGAATAGTACAAAGATGTTTTATTGTTTACAAAATTCTTTTTATAAGAGATTTGAGGCAAACTTTTTTCTTTTTCTTTTGGTAATAACTGTGATATGTTACCATTGTCAACCAAATGATTATTACAAGCTAACCAGTATAGCGTATCATTGCTCGCAGAATAGCAGCTGCTATCTCCTCCTTGAATTGCGTACACTTACTCCTTTTGATCCACCTTACTCTGGTTGCTGCCCCTGCTCTTACTATGCGTATCCCGGCCCAGTTTTCCATGGTATTCGTCACCTCACTGATCCAACTACATGCAGCAAAGAGATGATAATGTGTCTTCACAGTATCTGCATCACACAGACTATACTTGTCATCATTAATGGGAATGTGTAGTCTATGTAATCTTTCCTTTGTTAAAAGCCTATCTTGATATGCCAGCCACATGATCAGTCTTTGTTAGGTAGCAAACTTATTGCTAAAGGTGCTTGATGGTTTATGCCATAAGACATTATTTTAGGTGTTGTAGATATAGGACAAGATGTGGAAAGAGTTGAGAAAAGGAAAAGAGGAATAAAATGTAAAAAGCAAGTTAAAAAGAGGAATCAGATATCATGGGGATGGTGCTCTATAACGTTTAGTGAAGACTGCTATCGGGTACTGGTGCTTCATTAGAATGAAGAAGGATGATTGCTGGTGGTTGTGATATTGATATGTGATGCTGCTAGGAATGGGGGACATGGGAAGCAACCTAAGGAAACAAATATAATTGATATGAAAAAGAAAAATATGAGAGTGGGCAAGGTAATTAGAATATTCAGTGCTAAGTCTGAAAATCTAGGACACAAATGAGAAATATCCCGTCTTAAGTTTTTTTCTAACAAACGTGCTCCCTTGGTCCCAATTTATGTGGCGATGCTTCATTTGATGCGGAGTTTATGAAAGAAAGAAAGATTTTTGAAACTTGTTTAAAATATATCATAAATATTTATGTGGCTATAAAATCAGGTTATTTAGGGTAAAAGTAAATTTACCTATAAGATAGAAGTGTGACAATTTTTTGGGATATAATAAAAAAGAAAATTGTGTCACATAATATGGACAGAGGAGTACAACTCTTGCTCAAAGCTTATCTAACTAGGCTTGACTCAATTGTCTACTTGTCTTAGGGCATCTCCAAGGGTGTACTATTTTTGGCACCAAATCTAAATTTGATGTTTTCTTTGCTCCAATGGAACACCAAATCTTGCACCATTATAGTTGTTATGCAATGCCTTCCTGATATTCTTTGGAAGGGCAACATAAGGCTAAGCAACTGATGTCAGTGCGGTTGCTGTCCGCCAATGAGGTCCCCTCCGCACGCTAGACTAGATTGTCAGTGCCGTGCGGGAAAACCAATGTCATGAGCAATTGCGGAAGCTGAGAGAGAATTGAGTTTTGAATGATGATGATGATTTTATTGATGACTGAAATGCTGATTACAAAGATGCGGTGTCGAGGGGGAGAGACACCAGAAAAATGCTTGCTTGAAAATGTTTGATTGTTTGGTCCCCCTTAATAATGCTTAAAAAAAATAAACCAACATTACATGACTAGTCCTAATAAAGCTGTAGAAGCACACTGAAATG